ACATATACACACACACACACGTATATACACACACACACACATATATATATACACACACACATATGTATACACATATATATGTGTAAACAACTCCAGAAATACTAAAGAATGACATACGGGACAAAATTTTGAAAATACTAGCATTTCTGCAGATTAGCGAAAGTGAACTCAAAGCAGAAATACTTGAGACACATGTAGGATTCTCCAAACATGCAAAAACGTCACAGTATCAGAGTGTAAGGCTCCCTGTAGTACTACCATTCAGCAACATGAAATGTATATTAAAGCAAAACAAAAATTCTAATGAAAGAAAGAAATTGAAAACCATGACATTTTCTATCCAAGAGTATTTTCTATCACAAAATACATTCTTCCTCCAAAAGAACAAAGGTTACATCATAAACTACAGCTACAATTTAAGAGTGATGTGATGTTTTTAACAGTTATTTCTAATTGTCCCTAAGCATGACTATTATTTTAACACTGGGCATAGATTTTCAGTTAACAGTGAATCAAAAAGGAAAGATACTAGAATATAGGTGAAGTGCTGGGAAATGTTAAACTGCCAAGAATTTTTGAATACTGAAAGGGTTATATGAAATGCAAATTTCCAACATATTTCAGTGAGATAAGCAAATGAGGCCGCTTTTATTTTTACTGTAAATTTGCCAGAGTTAGCAGCTTTAATTTTCCCTTCAAGAACTTTGGGACTACAGTCCATCTATGCAGATGGGAGATGTTGTAGGAATACCTAATTTATGTAAAATTTTGATCTAGGTTAATATTTTGAAACTCAAAATCCAATATCAGGTTTTAAAAATTTTATTCTGAACTTTTGCTCAAAGCAAAATGTTTTAAAATCTTTTCATATTTGATAATTATGTAATAAGAAGAGTCAATAGCAAATCCAAAAATATCCATTACAGACTTAATGTATCTGATTACAGATATTTGTATCTAAGCCAATTTTCCTTAATTCTAATTTTTCAGATAGTCTTTAAGAATTCTTTAAACACTACTATTTAGATATGTATCTGCATAAATATATGCTGTACCTCTTTCTTTGTTATTATATTATTTATTTTGGCAGGAGGGGAGGTAACTAGGTTTATTTATTTTTAGAAGAGGTCCTGGGGATTGAACCCAGGGCCTTGTGCATGCTAAGCAAGCACTCTACCACTGAGCTATACCCTCCCCTATAACTCTGCTAAAAAGAGGGTTCTTCAACTTCTGAAGTTTATTTTGTTCATCATAAACTTTTAGATGAAATACACTCTGAGAACAATCTTGCTACTCTTAAAAAAAAGGAAATTTTATGGTGATAAGCAGCTTAAATCAGAATTTTTTTAAACTGTCATCTACTCTTAAACCAAAATTTCATTTCTGCAATGTATTATTCAACAACAAGAAGGACTTTTATCTAGATTTGTGCAGACAGACCATGCCTTTACCTTACATATATTTCTAAAATCCAAGTCTCTGGTCTATATCAACCCCTCACCCCCAGGCCCCAACCAACACACATTCACAGACCTTCACACACTCTCACCAGTAGAATTTTGAAGAAGCAGACTTGTTCTGTATTTATCAGGTTTATCTCCAGGTCTTAGGAAGTATAAGTCTGGAACAAGTTTGATGGGAACCACGGCATTCTTAAAAGAGTGATGCACCAGAAACATAAAAATCTGAACTGTAAAAAAAATTAAAAGCAGAAGCAACCTGAAAGGAAAAAATAATAATATAGCTCAAGGTACATTAAAATGTAAATCTACAAAAAAAAAATCTTTCACATGATAGTTAAAAAGTACTCACTTTAAAAAAAAAGGGAAAAAAATCTGAAAAAGTAGCACTTGGGAGTAGAATTTCTACTTTCCAAAATGGTCTCATGACAGTATTGGAGAGAAAATCACTATTCAATGATAAAATCAAAAGTTACAAAATTATATTTTAGACCAGAGCCACCTTGAAATTTTTATAGCACGTGTAAACATGCAGTTATAACTTAAAAAAAAAACTTAAAAAAATAGACATATGTCACCATTTACATCTCTGTTCTCCTGAAAGAACTATTTCCTGCCCTACTTCTTATTTACTCTCCATATATTTTAGAAAATATATAATACAAAAATATTTTAGATATAAGGAAGAAAATAAAAAATACAGTGAAACTTCAAATGACTGGTGTCTTTAAAATTTCATCCTAACCACTTCAATTTCCACTTCTCTTCTAGAGACAAAGATACACACAGTCAGTTATAAGGATCATCATTGGCAGCTGGTCCAGCACATAATTCTATTACCCATTCAAAATGTCCTTCTATCTGGAAGGCAGATAACCTTCTGTCTTAGCCTGCAAAACACCTCGCATTATACGTGATAGGTGTCAAAACAAGTGGGTAGAGAGAGCTTAGATGATCACACTTTGGCATTTTATAATTTTCAGAAACCCTATAATTTTCAGTAATTCTTAAATTATTGAAAGTAGACCTAAATCAGCACTGCCAAAAGCATACAGCATTGACTCTAACTTCCTAATAAGTTAGTAAGGGTTTTAGGTTAAAAAAAAATTCATTGGAACCTCTGTGAGTTGAATCATTTCTTGACCACAGAACCTCTCATGTGTTCTTATGTGCTAATGAACAAATCTTTAAGAGAGACAATATAAGATACAATATTTTCCAAATGCATAGATGGTCAAATATGTATTTGACCATAGGATACTTTTTGTAGTGGACTTAATGTCTGTCACCCTCCTCCCAAATTTATATGCTGAGGTCCTAATCCCCAAAGGGATGATATTTGAAGATGAGGGCTTCGGGAGGTAATCAGGGTTAGATGGGGTCATGAGGGCAGGGACCTCATGATGGGATGGCGCCCTTCTAAGAAGAGGCCCCAGAGAGCTTGCTCTCCATCTCTCTTCTTTCGTGTGCACCAAGAGGTTCCGTGAGCACACAGCAAGACAGCGGCCCAGCCAGGAAGAGAGCCCTCATCAGAATCAGACCATGCTGCACCCTAACTGACCCGCAGCCTCGGGAACAGTGAGAAATTTCCACGATGCAGGCCACTCGGTCTATGTTATTTTGTTGTGACAGCCAGAGCTAAGACACTTTTACTGTTTTTCAGGGAGAATTTCATGAGAGCAGTATTCAATTAAATAAACTGAAACATGCCGATTTAAATCAATATTTTTCTTTCACTAATGCTGACCCAGGAATAAATCAAATATTTGATTGACATTTCTTTGCCGTTAAATAAACTTGGGCAAAAAAGGAAATGAATTCAGCATATTTCAAATATATAACAGAACTCTAATTTTTGATTATTAAGTTTTTTTTCTACTGCCATTTTGGATCTAACAAGACAGTGCAGTATATGAAAGTACTTAATGTTATTTCTAAGTAATACAGTGTCTAGCAGCCCATGGGAGCCTAACTGAGAGAGGCAAAGCCAAGTGGAAAAGAAGTCATTTTGACCCCAATTCTACTAGCTATAAACTTTTCTTTATATTTCTGTTTCTTCATCTGATAAATAAGAATAAAACTTACTCTTCTTGCTGTTTACAAAAAGTGGTCATAAATATTAGTAATAGAGGGGGAAAAAGTGTGAAAAATATAAATGGAAAACAAAATTTAAACACAATAACAGTAATTCAAAAACTACACAATTAGAGAATATTATTTGTCACTCCCTCATTTTATTGATGATTCCAAAAATGTTGGTTTTTAAAAAGAGTAAGGCTCTAATGGTATTCAATGAAATTACTCTAGGCATAATTTCTTTTCTCTGACATTGTGAAATTACATTTTACATTTTAATCTTTCAAAACTATATAGATTATTTATATATGTCTATATTTTAAAGATTAAGATGGCATGACCAGTTTGTATCCTTGACAAAAATTCATCAGGCGTAAGAGTGATTATACTTACACTGACCGCGCTGATTTGCTTTCACGTTTCAAGGTAAGGCAATGAAACTTTGCTGTTGTATACATCTGCTGTTTCCACAGGCTCATGGTGCTCACTAGGGATGCCTTGGTTTCAGAAAGAATAAGCAAGCTCTGCTCCATTTCATCAAAAGACTTTGAATCCCATTCTTCCTCTGGTGGCTGCTGAGTAAATACGCTATAATCTGTTTGCCAAAACAAAACGATTGAAAATTATGGTATATTCCTTAAAAAGATGAAAACCTTTCTGAAGCATATAAATTTCAAAGCAGCAGACACCTAGCACTGCTGTAGGACAGAGGGAACTGTCATATACTTTGGCAATAGCTTATGACCCAGGAAACTCTCTGTAAAGTATAAATCCAACAGAGATATGTACAGAGGTTCACTGAAACACATGCACAAGAATATTCTTAGCTAGTACCCCATCCAACAGCCATACACTGGAAAGAACCCCAATGGCTATCAACAGGTGAATGAGTAAGTAGGCTGTGAAATATTCCTGTAACAGATACTGTAAAAGAATAAAAGCGAACAAACTACTGTACAACTTTAGTAGTCTGACCTTACAAACATTATATTATGTAAAATAAACTGGAATATGTATAAATACAAGAGATATGCTTTATAATTAATTCCATTAGATCAAAGCCAGACAAAACTTCTCGATGGGGATAAAAATCAAGATACGTTATTTTCAAAACAATGATTCAATTTAAAAGAGATGAAATCTGGCTTCAGTATGAAGAAGGACTTCTTAGACTTATGTTAAATTTTTTAAAAAATGAGTAAATATGTAAAACTTTTTAAGAGTGGAACAGAAAAATACATAAAATAATATTTTAAATAAAATACAATCTCGCTCTCTTGGTATCTTACCAGCTTAACAGTTTTGATGAATGATTTAGTAATATAAACAAGTCCAATTCCCCTCTTCCCCTGAGATACAGAGGACTAATCAAAATAAAAAATACTGTGTATCACAATCACATTACTCAATAAGCATCACTTTATCGTCTATGGAATTTGATATGTATTCACCTTTAAAAAACAAAACAATTAAAACTGGCCATACTAAAAGCAAACCCATGTTAGAGGCAAATTTATTTTGTATAATGGACTTAAAGGTACTATGGGAAAAAGCCAATATACCTAAACAGAGCGCACCCTTCCCACTGCCCAAACATCTCTAGAAACTACCTCGTATGCTTCAAAATATTTAGCACCACCCATACGAGCATCTTCTTCCATCTAACTGTCTTCCACCATCTTAAGTATTACAAGCATACTCACTGATAACACATTCTACATCCTGACCTCTAACTTCCTTTAGCTTTTCTATTCCTGGACCTTTACTCAGTTTCACAAACGGGATGCAATGCATGCTTGGGCTGATCTGATATCTGAATCTGATATTATATCCTCATCATAAAGTTGACTTTTCTTGTTCCTCCACGTTTGAGAGAAACATCCCCATCTCCTCCACCTTCCTGACCTATCACCATGACCATCCTGCTAACAGTCAATTATAAGAAAAGTTTCCACCACCCACATTCTCACCTGAAATTACACAGATCTTGACCACACCACTGGAATTATTCTTGTCAAGGTCACAGCTGGCTTCCAGGCTACTGAATCCCCCACTGTATTCTATGTTGCTATCTTCTCTTGTCATCTTACTCTTCACAGCAATCAGCAAATAACTGCCTATGCCTTCTTTCCTAAAATACCATTTTGTCTCAGCTTCCACATCTCCTTTCGTGAAGAAAGACCACGATGGTGCTTTCTCCGTCAGCCCTTCTTGGCCCTTCGTTGCTCAGCCTCAGGGCTTACCCTCTACGCTTATCTGTACTCTCTATACCTCATCCAATCCCACACTGCCATCTATATACGAACAACTCCAGAATTTATATCTTCAGCCCCAACAGCTTCACTGAGCTCCAATGCGTTAATCAAACTGTCCCTGTACACGTCCACTGGTATGTCTCACAAACTCCTCAAACAACAGAACAGAAATCCATGCCTGGACTCCTTCTTTCCACAAAGCTGCTGTTCCCCCATTCTCAGGAGACAGCAATTCCATTTCCAGTTCTCAAGCCAAAAGCTTAGAAATTATTCTTGATTCCTCCCTTTCCTCAACCCCTAATACAAATCCATCAGCAAGTCATCACTAGTACCACAAACATAACCCAAATCTGTTCATGCTTCCCTTTTTTCACAACCATCTTAGTTCAAACTAAGATTAACTGTAAACTTCCCTGATCTTCCTGCTTGCAAACTGTCTTCACAATCCACTCATCAAAAGCCAGAATGCATTTTTTAAAAATGCGTATCAGATCATGTTACTCCTTTCCTTTAAAATTCTGATAGCTTCACATTACAATAAGAAAAAAAAATCAAATTCTTTTCCAGATGTTCAAAGACTAAACATGATCTGGCCCTTGCCTACACCCCTGACCTTGGTGGCGTTTTTCTCAGTCATCAAAAACATACAACTCACTCCTCAAGCACCACCTCTGCAGCAACAATTCCCTTTATTTGGAAGGCTCCATAATAAAATCTTATTTTTCTTGCCATCCAGATCTCAGTTTAAATATCACCTCAACAAAGTCCTCCCTAAAATACAGTCTAAGACCACCCCAACATTACCTCCATAACTCCTATCACTAACAGTAAACATCTGAATGGTTTATTTACCTATTTATCCCTACCCTTTCTTCCTCCAAATATAAATTTCACATGCTTATATAATTATTTTTCTTCTTCACCATCTATCTGATTCATTGCCTAAAATGTTTTGCTAGTTTTGTTTTTACCTGCTTGGTCAATTTCTGCTTCAACTTCCAGCTTTAAGAATACATCTTCCAAAGTCGTCATGGAAACACCATAAGAAATAATACCCAAGTTGGAATGAGCGTCTAGAGCAGAAAATAAACCTAAAAGAAAAAAACAAAAGAATGTTGCACAGTTAAGCATCCTATCATGAATTATTCTAAAGTATCCTCTAAAAATGGGATATGACTAAATTTACTCTGCTAGCACAGCGGTTCTCAAACTTTTTGGTTTCAGGACCCATTTAACATTCTTAGAAATTGCTAAGGACCCCAGGGAATATTTGTTTAGGGAGATAACATCTATTTGATATGTATCATATTATAAATTAAAACCAAGAAATATTTTATAGACAGAATGACAGGCAGAGTATGTTAAGTTGACATATGTACTTCAGCTAATCATTCCTTCTTCTTGAAAGAAGCCAATTAAACTAACAGAAAATTTCTACCTAATCCTAGGGAAGCAATGGGAATTCTGTACAACATATCTATGACAGTAATATCATTTTGGTTATTAAGAGATCTCTAAATGGACAAAGGAGACTGAGTTTGAGTTCTTCATCAAAAAGCAGAAGACCAATGCCACGAATAAAATAATTCCAACAGTTTACCACATAATAATACAGTTCGTTATGAAGTCATGAAACTGTATAAGAACTTGAGGACATACACAAATAACTGTGTTTGTGTATGTGTGTGTATGTATATATGTGTGTATACGTCTATTTATAATCATATTCCCAGGAGGCCTACAAATAAAGGGAGCAATTCATTTCTTGACAACAACACAATTCTTTACTTAGGTTAATGTATTAGTTGCAGTTTCTTACATGCTGTCTATATAAAAAAGAAATGCACTAGCTTCTAGTATTTCTGACTTTCAACAGCTAAACAAAGCAGAAACGGAATATTAACTCTGACTACCTGGGTGCATGTAGATATTACACAGAAAAGTAAACAACAAAGTAAATTAAGAAAACTCTATCCCAATGCAAGATCCTTGTTCAGCAGTCAAGAAACTGAAGAGAGAATACCTGAAAATTTGTCCATGTCCTTGAAAGGCAAGCTGTACACAAGCTGTTGGTCAGTCTGTTGTAATGAAGTAGCTCCAGGTATGTGTTGTTTAACCAGAGAAGAAAGAGATTCTGTGGCACAGTATCTGTCTATGTACATGCTAGAGAAAACCGAAAGCCATAATTTTTTATGATTACTCAGTAAGCAACCAAACGTAAATGCTGAATGCTTTAAGTTAAAGTTGGGGCCATTAAAAGCAGCCAAAGCACATTACGGCAATCCCTAAATATAGAAACAATAGACCAGGCATATGACAAAGAACAAGTCAATAAAGAATGAACGATACCTCAGGCGGTAGCCAATCCCCCATTTGCTTTTGAGAAAAATTGAAGAGCCAACACATTTTAACATTCCTTGTGATATGACAGCTTTCCTATCTGCAAAAAGAAATTTGCATGTCAATTTTTAAGTCAGTAACAGCATTAATAATGGGCATTTATTCTTTATGGATTATCCTATGAGACATCAATGAATTAAGTGAATGAACTCATTAAATTATCACAGCCTTCTGAGGAAGGTACTAGATGATCATCACCTGCTTTTTAGACAAGAGCACTGAGGCAATGAGAAAATACACAGTTTGCCCACGTTTCACATGGCTGCTAAGTGACAAAGCCAGGAGTGACACCCAGGCAGTCTAACTCTGACTCTGCTTTCCTAACACTGCTCCAAATAGCTCAGGCTCTTACTGTAAGGCTCATTAACAGAAGAACTTTCACAATTTCCTTAATAATCAAATGTAAAAATGACAAGAAGGCAACAAAAACAAAATGTTAGCTTTTTAACAAAAAAAACAAAGATACTACCGAAAAAATGAATGACATGCCCAACGTATTAGACTATATTGTAAACAGAAAGAGGCTGCTGTAGAATCTCAAACTCTTGGATCTTGTCAGTTACTAAAAAAAAGTCATGTGTTGGCTTAAAACTGGATTCTTTATATGGGTGAATATGTTTGATGCTGTATGGAAAACAGTCACAACAGCAGACGTGAAGCCGCTAATCTCGGAAAGGCCTGCTTACCAGGTTGGCTCTTGACTGGTGTCTGGAAACCTCGATCTGAGGAGGGTTCTCACCATTCCCAGAACAGGCAAGGGTGGCTCACTGTACCTACACTGTGCGGACAGCGCAGATAGTATTTGCAACATGCTTTCCTTCTCTGCGTCTGGAATTTGACACATGCTGGGCACAGGGTGCCTACGTGACCAGCACCCAGGAGAAACCTTGGCACGTAGTCTCTGAAGAGCTTCCCTAGCAGACAGTTTCCCACGTCCTGGTGACAACTCACTGCTGGAGAAACTGGGGGCATCCTGCATGACTCCGTCAGGAGAGGACTCTTGGAAGCTTGTCTGGCTTCCCCTTTGCTGACTCTGCTTTGAACCCCTTCTGTTTCACTAGAATAACCCACACCCATGAGTATGACTATGCTGAGTACTGTGAGTTTTCTGGCAAATTCTTGACCTGGAGTGGTCAGAGGGACTCCCCAACACAAAAATATGTAATTTAAAAAAAACTGTAATACCTTTTTTTGTGAAGAACACACAGATCATTTATTCCTCAGAATTTAGCATTTGTCTGTCCAATCTCCCATTTGGCCCCATGACCTTATCCTTCAAAAGTAAAGTTAAAATCTCACCAGCAAGAATGTCAGCTTCATCCATGAAGTGAGTACTAAACACCGTCACCCGGCTGGATTTTCTGTATTTCAGAAGATTCCAAACAATATGACGAGAACAGGGGTCCATTCCAGCTGTCGGTTCATCTAGCAACAGTATCTGTGTGGAAAGGGGTGGGGGAAGGACATGGAATCCTCAGGATAACTAAAACACGTAAAATTTACATGGACCCTGAAAGGCTTCCCCATTCAGAGTTACTAGATCCAATCAGAAATAAATTAGATCTGAATTTTCCACTCATATTTGAGTCCGTATCAATTTTAAAAATTAAGTTTGGCATAGGAATACTTCTCTTGGTTTAATTTCAAAAGATTAATGTCTGTAATATATGAGACATAAGTGTAATAACAATCAGAGAAATTAAAAAAAAACCAAACATTAAGTACATTGCTTTTACCTGAACAATTTGACTGCTTGTTAGAGAATTGTGTTCTATATTGGTTCAGAGAAAGCAATTTATTTTAAGGCTGTTTTTAATTTCAAGATTTGGTGGTGGGGATTGGGAGAAAGGTAAGTTAACACAGAGCCAGAACCCAAAGTCCTCCCCGAGCTACAGCAGCAGGGGAAATGTGGCAGGATGGTGGGAATCCAGGGGGCTCCAGCTGCAGGCATGCACCTGGCAGCTTCCCAGCACTGTGCAGAGCACCGCATCAGCTGGCTGGCTGCTTCTACAGGGCAGAGAACAGCATGAAACAGACACAGACAAAACCACGAAACACACAGACAAAACCAAATCAACGGAATAGGGAAAACTTGGACTATCCTTTTGATTTTGTTCTTATTTTAAAATGCTTATTATAACCATTACAAATATATAGAAAACTAAAGAGAATAAGATAGCCACCACTGAAATTTAACAAGTTATTTTTATTTCAGATCTTTTTCAAAGAATTAAAACACTGTGGATATAACTGAAGTCTGTCATATCCACTCCCCTTCCTAGACATGACCATTATCTCAAAGATGCTGTGTTATCTTTCTTACTTTGGTTTTAAAACCATATCACTATAATTACATCCATAACAACATATTGTATGTATGTTTAAAATTCATATAATGTGTGTACGTGTATATTTCTTCAACCTGCTTTTTCATTCAACATAATTTAAGATCCTCTCATCAATGACATTAACATTTGCTTACCTTTGGATTCCCAAGAACAGCAATTCCCAAAGACAGTTTTCTTTTCTGACCACCACTTAGTTTCTTAGCTTGATTATCTTTGATAGCCTGCATGTCTAAATCCAGTAAAACCTTCTGTACCTATAAAAGGAAAGTGGGAATAATGTTTATTTTTAAATCACACCATTTATGTACTTACCAATATTAGTTTTGAAGTTTTCCAATTTTAACATCAACTTTTAAAACGTTCTTTTGGTACAAAATTTAATTTTTACATTATTTATATATAATTTTGAAATAACAGATAAAAAGATTCCTGATGGAAAGGTCTGTTTTACTTGTGTGACCAGTGGGTAGTGTGGAAGGGGTCAGTGTGAAGGCAGGGGGCGGGCAGGGGAAGGGGGCAAATGTGAAAAGAAAAAGAAAAAGAAAACATCTATATTAAGAAACTAGTATCTTCCAAATGAAACAAGGACTACTTTACATGTATTAAAACTTTTCTTCCAAGTTCTAATTCTTTGTAATAACTTTGTTTGCTAGCTCAGAGCAAGTTTTATATTTAGATTTTCAAGCATATTTTTATTACACAAGTTGTTGCAAAAGGTTATGAATTTACAGGGAATAAAAGTAAAGATCTCTATATAAATAACATACTTCTTGTATTACATTATTGGCTGGTATTCCTTTGATTGAAGCCAAAATGGATAAATTTTCTTCTACTGTCAAAACATCAAAGTGTATATCTAACTGTGGACAAATGCCAATCATTTTTCTTGCTTCAAACATTTCATCTATTTCTGAGACTCTGTGTCCATATATAGATGCAAACCCTAAAAGCAAAATATATATTTAAACTTATATTAAATATATTAAGTGTCAAAAAGTATATATGCTTTAAGATATACTGATAATTTAGGCACTTGTATGTAATAGACATATAAAATGAGAGTTAATAAAAATTTGGAAGATACAACACATCCTCACTTCCATACTCTGGGTGATTTGCTTTCACTTATATTCCAATCTCATTTTTCTTCATTTTCAGATCATATTACAAAAGAGTGGAAAGAGCCAGGAACCAGAAGCTTAACACCAAACATAGTTTTCATCAGTGCATTAATTACACTTATATTCCAGTAACAATTTTTCTTCATTTACAGGCATTATGCAAAAGTGAAGAGAAATAAGAACTTAATATTTACCCCTAACTAGCCCTGTGGTCTTGAGAAAATCACTTAATCTAAATTCCAGCTTTTTTCCTCTCTAAACTGAATACTAATATATCCTACTTTACTTAAGAACCGTTAAACCAATGTAACAATGTATGGAGAATCGTATCAGAAATAATAAATTCTTATATGAATGTAAGAGATTATAACTACCATCAAAGAGTGACACAGAGACAAGCAACAAAATCAAACTAATTTTGAAAGTTAAACTACATTTAAAAAGATATAGATTCAATACATGGAAATTCAGCTGTTACTTAGAGTAAAATATTTACTGTACTGCCACTCTATTAGGTTATTGTAAAAAAAATGGAGCTGCCATATTGAATTTTCACTTATAGGACAATCACATATAACATATGTTTGATGTATTGCTCTTAAAATTTTATTTTAGGAGATGGTACTGATATTTATCATTCTTTCAACTACTGTATGCTTAGCAATCTTTGTTTTCTCAACTGAGATGTCTATAGGTTTCATTTAATTTCAAATTAATTACCAATTTATCCTTCTTTGCAAATGAAAAATAAACACACAAACACACAATATCTGATAAGACAGCTACCAATTAGATCCTTTTTACTTTATTAAATATAACTGAATCATTTTTATTTTCTATTGAAGAACATATAAATGTGTATAATCAACAAAAAAGAAAGAAAAACATCTTTATAGACACAGAAGTTGATCCCAAATCATTGACAAAAACCAATCAGTACATATTTCAAGGATAAATAATTACATTATGATACCTTAGTTACTAACACTGATAAAACAAAGTAAGACAATTTTTTTTAAGTCAGAAAACTCTCACCATCAGAAGGTGGGCATAGTCCACAAAGAATATTCATCAGTGTACTCTTCCCTGTTCCACTGTGGCCAAGTAATGCAGTAATCTGACCCTCGTATATGTCAAATGATAAATCTAGTTCAGGAGAAAAAGGGAAGAAAGACTCCAATGTGATTTTTATTCCTCTAGAGCCATATAAGATAGTTCATGATACTTGAGCAATCTTGAAATAAGTCAATACATTTAAAGATAGATTTAAAATTACCAGCATACTTAATAACATAATATTTAATATTATAACACAATAATAATTCTTTGTTACAGTCAAATGGTCTGAACAGTAAGAAAAATAATACAAAATAAACTTTTTCTTTTTTTGTTACACTAACAGATGCAGAAAAGGCACAAAATACTTGGGGGTGGTTTTCTGGGTACCCACTTTGGGGAACTTCCAAGGGAATCAAAATAAAAGGACAAATTAAAATTTGTTCCCAAGGGTATTTATTGGCATGTCCAATGTCCTGGTAGAAAACTAGAAATTAACCAGTAGCATGGGGAAAGCTAAGTAAATGCTTGAAGAGTTCAATTTAAATAAAAGTAAAGTAGAATGAACAAGTATCATTGGATGGATGTGTCAACAACTAAAAGGAGACAGCAGACAGGGATCTAAAAACCCAGCTTCAAATAACCGTAGCCCCTGATCTGATGAAGGTGATCTGGGCTGTGAGTATCCCTAGAGCTACAGGCCAGAAGCAAAAACAAATCCTCTCCAGAGGAAGGTCACTTCATCCAGAGCATCAAATAATCTCCATAATTACTCATAAGCAATTTGTATTACTCAGCCAAAAACAACCAAGCAGAAGAAAGAAAGCTAAGACCAAAAACCAACAGAAAAGACAGGCAACAGAAAGGGACCTAGAAGAGATGTAGATATTGGCACCACATGACAAGACTGCACAATAACTAAGCTGCCATGTTCACAAGAGAATGTTGGCAAAGCATGAAAAACCATATGAAAGAACCAAGTGGAATGATAAAAACTGGAAAAGAGAAGTGAAAAAGATTTCAATAGACAGTTTATCAGCAGATGAGAGCCAGCTAAAGAGGGTATTAGTAAATGGCAAGAAAAGTCAGAAGAAACCATCTAGACAAAATACAGAGACAAACGAAAAGTCAGAAGTCATCTAGATAAAACAAAAATGCGTAAAGGAAAACAGTAACAATACACAGAGAGAAAACAGACAAATTCACAATCATAATCGAAGATTATCTTTAATTTCTCCCTCTGAATAAATGATAAAAGCGATCCCACAAAAGCAAATCAGTAAACATACAGAAGATTTCAAAAACACAATTAGCCAACTTAACCTGATATGGAAACACTACATACAACTGTAGAATATATCTCTTGTACAAGTGCACACAGAACACGTACAAAACTGACCATATACTGGGTCATCAGATTTCAATAAATGTCAAAAGCCTAAAGTGAATCATAAGACTATGTTCTCTGACTGTTGAGGAATTAAGATAGAAATCTAAAACAAAAAGATAGATAAATCACCAAGTAGTTAAAAATCAAAACATATAATCTATGCATCAAAGAAAAAATTATAGTAGAAATTATAAATATTTAAAACTGAATAATAATGAAAACAATCTGTCAAGACTTGCACAGTGCAGCTAAAGCCATGCTTAGATGAAAATCTGTGTGTATGTGTACATACACACACACACACACACACACTTTTTCAGATTCTTTTCCATTATAGTTTATTACAAGATATTGAATACAGTTTCTGGGTTCAATCCCCAGTACCCCCATTAAACAAATAAACAAACTTACAATCAGCTGACTTTAAGTAAAGGTGATTACCCTCAATAATACTGGTTGAAACTCATCCAAGCAACTGAAAGCCTAGAGAGCAAAAACTTAGGTTTCTCAGAGAAGGAATTCTACCTCAAGACTACTGCATTTCCGGTCTGAGTTTCCAGCCTGCCCTATGAATTTTGGACTCAAGACTGAAACTTCAATTCTTGCTGGAGTTTCCAGGCTGCCAAGCTGCCCTACAGATTTCAGACTTGTCAAGCCTCACCATCAGATGAACCAATTCCTTAAAAATAATCTCCCCTCTTCTCTCCTGCCCCTCCCCTTCAGCCCTCTCACTCTCTGTATGTAAGTGTATATACATAATCTATCAATTCTGAAGCACGCTGGCTCACACGCTGCTGAACACCCCATAGTTCTCAGGACAGTTCCCCACAACAAAGAATTATCAGGCCCCAAATGTCAATAGGGCCAAGAATGAGAAACTGTTAGGATAAAAGAAAAAAGAAAGTAACTAAGATGTATACATGAGCATAATAATAAAATGAGAAAGGACACAGATTTGTTCAAATAACTGACTAATTTTCATCTTAATAGATACCACATTTTTCTTTTACTACCTCAATGTTGTTAGTTTTATTATGACTATTAATTACATATACAAAGTATCCCTAAAGGAAAGACAGAAAATTGTGGTAAAGGAGTTCAAGTTTCCCACAACCTATGCAAATTGTTTTTCCATTTGTACTTTAATACTATGGACTGAACACCAGGAAAGCTACTTACTTCTCAAAGCCTCCACATTTTCACCCTTCTTTCTGTACGTCTTTTGAATACCACTGATTCTGAAAAACACCATTTTCCATTTTAAGATTTTAAAGCAATTAGTAAGTGTGTGTTTCCATGTACATTTTTTATCAAAGCTTTCATATTTAGTATAAATAATAATAAAGTATCTTCTTATTAAAACAATAAACCAAAGAAACCTGACAGTAATAATAAATTTATTTACAAGAAAGAAGTATAGTATTCCTCTCCATTTTAAGTGTTATTCATTCATTCTTCATGATAAGCCAACTTCTAAAAAGAAACTGAAACATGTGACTCAAGCAATCTATCGAATTCTTTTCATTTAGACTCCTTTCTGTCTATAATTAATCAGATACTTGTTACATCAGTTAGGGGAGATTAAAAACCAAATGGTATTTTACCTCAGCACCCATTTCAAACTATCTCTAAATGTGAAGTGATTCTCTCATTCCATTTTAAATGTTTTACATAATCTTTAAAGGAATTAATGATTTTGGTCATCAGTTTAAAATTTAATCCTAAAAAGGCAGAGAACCAGCCCACTGGTTGCATCTTAAGTATCTAACTCTCCCTTGCTTTTTATACATTTCTCTTAAATTTAAAAAACATACATTATACTTCACTTTTTCTTTTACTTTTATTTCTTTTCTCTTTCTCATTATTTTTTAAATTTGGTTTTGACTGAACAAGTAAGAAATACTGAAGAATTTCTTTTGTTCAAAAAGTTAAGCTGATGTGACATAAGTTAATTATGACAATTTCTAAGGGTCTATGAAATTAAGAGGACAACTTAATATGTTGTACAACTTGGGCAACGTAGCCTGAATACAATTATAAAGTTAATATTTATTTTGTTTCAATTTATTTAATGGAGAAACTTTAAAATAGCTTAACTGTATAAATACTAGGTTTTATTACTTTTAAAAATTTCTATTGAACCATAAAATTTCAAACCTAGCAACCTTATTCTAAATGGTTACAAAGAAAATAAAAACTTAAAAAAGAATTAGCCTTTAATACTGTTTTTTAAAAATCATCAAATGTCACCAAATCTCTTAAGATACTATACTTATACACATTATTTAAAAGGTAGGATTTTAAAATATAAATAAATAAAATAAAATAAAGATAAGATTTAAATGCATCCATTCCATCAGCAGTTCTTATACCTAAACTGCCAAGATCGAATCATACCTTATGGCTTCTTTTCCTATAAACTCTGAAGAAACAGGCTCGATAATTTCACTAAAACTAATATTCCCATTAGCATTGCCCTCTGATAACTCCTTATAATTTCTTTTGCTTTTTGACCAATACGATGGCTTCAGAAAATATAAAGAGGATCTCCGTAAGCCAAATTCTCCTGAAAAATAAAAAAATACTAAGACAGCTTAACAAATTATTTCTGAAAATTAGTTTTTAAATCATAAAGGCAGTATATGACACCGATGACAATTCCGATCTAAAGTTTAGACATAGAGTACTTAATATTGTGTGAAAAATAAAAGTTTTACTGACAAATAACTCTAATCCATAAATAGATTCAGAGTTGCTGAGCATATATGGAACATACAGGTAAGTAAAGCACATTTTCTGCGCTAAAGGAACTTACATCTTTATGAGTACACGTACATAGCCAGTGGCTAAACCACAGCGTACAGCACAAGTCATGTCATGCACAGTGCTAATAAGAGTTCAGAAGAGAAGTTTATATCTGGGTATCCTGAAGGCTTGAATGAGTATCATCTCAGACAGTCTTTGAAAACAGGCAGCAGTCAGGAAAGTGGATACAGTTCACAGAGAAGACTTTATCACACAGCAACAGGACCCATATAGGAGACTTAGATCCAATAGAAGGTGACGGCTGCCCACACAGCATGTATACATTTTCCCCAAGAAACCAACACCCCCACATCTTCCTTAATATCTACCCCTCCTCTAGATGACCACATGTTTCGGGGGGATCTGATCTCAACTACACAGAGATTCTAGTCGATCTCATCAGTACCTAGCATGCTCTGGTGATTGCTATTGCTCCAGTCATAAGTATGTAACCAATCAGACAGAAGCAAAGGGCTTGGCTGGGAAAAAGGTTCACTCTCCCTCTCCCACTGGACGTGAACAAAGAAGCAGAACACCGTGTAGCCACAAGGAGAGCAAGTCTACCAGACTCTGAGACAGAAGTGGCAAAAACCTGGAGAAAGTGGGTCCCAGATGACACAGTTGAGCAAGTTAATCAACTCAGAGTCCATCTAGTCTCCGGACTTCCTTTTAATTAAAACAGCTGATTTCCTTCTTGTTTAAGACAATTAAAAAGGTCCTCTGTTACAAGTAGCTAAAAAAAAATCTGATTGATACACTGGAGATGTGTTTAAATAGATAAACAGGACCATATGAAAGAATGTAAAACACAGTAAGGAGGGGGAAATTGGTAGGAAGAGATTAAATGCATCACAGTATTGTGGAGGACATTCACAACGAGTTTCTATTTAATTCACCAGCATATGCCCAGCAAGGTTTCCGCGTATGTGATTAACTTAATTAAAGGGAATGGTGAAGTTCTTAGAGAGACTTGAGGCAGGTAATCAGATGAAGGCTACAGCAATGGTCTAGACTAGACCAGTCTAGTGCTGCCCAATATAACTTTCTGCAGCAATGGAGATGTTCTAATCTGTGCTGTTCAACATGGTGACTGCACCACGTGTGGCTACTGAGCACTTGGAACGTGGCTTCTGCTGCTGAGGAAATGAATTGTTAATTTATTTAAATCTAACTAATTTAAATTTTAAAAGCCATATGTGTCTCACCATATGTGCCTCACAGACTAAATTAATGAGGAACTCGAGGGGAAACGTAATGAGGGTGCTGCTTATTTAATAATACTTTGAATCTACACAAGTTTGTTGCAGATGCAGAATAAGAGTCAGGGGAATGGTAGGAGTTAACAAGATTACTCCATAGTTTTGGACCATAAAGGGTAAAATAACGAAACACGTCAGTCAAAAAGACTGACAGAGGATTGAGTTAAGAAGGTCAGTCAGGGGCTTAAGGTTTTCAGAACAAACTGATCCCTCTTCACTCCATCTCTTCACATTCACTAGCAGTTAAGGCACATGGTGCAAAATATACTTGTATAAAATTACACTAAAATCGAACAGTGAGTATCATTTAGGGTACTGTGGTTAGAAAAAAAGATTAAAATTAAGTTGACTTTATGTGTGCAAAATAACCTAAAAAACTCTTTAGAACAAAATCCAGTAACTACCTGCATACCTGGAATGACCTGATCAAGATAGACAGCCGAGAGGAGGTAGAACAGGCTGTTAAGTGCCAGCATGATGAGTGTAATAATCAGAGGGTACGGGCCTTCAGTCAGATTAGAAAATAAAGCACCTTCATTAAAATCTTCTAAATTCATGACCTGAAAAACAGAAACATCAACTTTATTACGTAAAAAAATGATAAAAATAAGCAAAAGCTAACACTTCTTAGAGTTACTTACTAGATCCAGAGTCAGTAAATTGGGCTGTTTAACAGGTTAAACAGTCTACCAAATTAGTAACATGAATTCATAAAGAAAGCAATCAAAACTTGACCGAAATAGGAGTTTATCACAACAATCCCTTCCAGTCATGTTTTTAATGCTATGCTTATAAAACTAATATGCACCTCCTCTTGGGGCATGTAATTCTAACACTATGCTTATCAAATGACATCAAGACGAACGTGAACAAAGAAGGGTTATGGCCCGCAGAGAATTCAAACAAATTAAGTATTAGAGGATAAAATTATGGTCAGCACCTTTTCAACTCTGACAAGGGAGAAGGTACTATAATTAGTTAACATAATTATTAAATTATTCATAGTATGTATATGTGACAGAGCAGAAAGAAAGGTACTATAGAGGTTGAGTCCTCATTTACTGCCATTAAGTGCACAAAGCATAATTATACTGCTCTGGATTTCTATCTCCTTACCTGTGAAATGAAGATGAATTAAATGACACTGAAAGTCCCTCCCACTCAGCAAAAACTTATGAATCTACAATTTCAACCTTCCTAAGTGAAGGGAGGGAGAATCAGTCGACCAAAACATGTAACAGCAGCTGTTAGATCTCAAATAATTAAAATAGGTTTAACTCAGTGTTCATAAACAATCTATCTTACGTCTCACAAATCAGAAGTCTATCTGGCTGACACGAATAATCTCTTCTATTAAGTAATTACCTTTTTCTTTACACATTAACCAAATTCATCTTTTAACATATAAAGCAGTTTCTTAATAAGAATTGTTCCCTTAGAACCTGACTGCCCTGTAAAGATTAATAAAAATCAAATTTATAAATCTAAATACTGTTTAAAATGAGAATCCCATGAATCCTGGACCTATAGAAACCACCAAGTCTATTTGCTTCACTCCTACATTCATGAAAAATTTGTTCTGCTTCACATAATCTGAGATAAACTCACAATAGGTCAAGAGCAATCTAGATTTCCTGATGCTGAAATCTATAACTTGTAACAAACTGAGTTACTGCAGTCAAACAGATTATTGAAATACACTAAAGCAAAAAGTGGAGAACTTATATAAAATGTACTGTAGCATTCACACACCATTCCTTTCTCCTATTGAAATTTTAAAGTAACTTTTTTGCAAACCAAAGGCAGTATTCATGGTATATAACACGCTGCATGGAAGTGGAGAGAAAATATTTAGTGAAAGTAAGATGAATGTATTACCTACCTGTGCAATACCAATCAAAAAAGTACACTGACAGAAGGGACTGAAAAGCCACACCAATGATTTGGGAAAACTTTCCATGAGGACTATCAAAAGGCCAACAAATCCAAAAGCCACAGTGACCAAAAATTCAACTATTCCCACATGTTTTGATTTTTTAAAAAGAGGTGTCAGCATTAAAGCAAAAAATACCTATAAAATATAAATATTAAGGTTAATACACTGTTCATATACACTGGTTTAAAAACAAAATTAAGTTTTGCTTGTGAAGGAGTAAGTTATTTTCATTAGAAAATTACATTCATTAGAATACAATTAATTTCTAAAGGCCATGGTAAGATATTTAATTTTCATACAAATAGTGCAATATATTAAAATTCTAAGCTGACAAATATTAAAAACTGCATTTCATCTATGTAACAGGCAAACATGATCACCTCAGCACTATAGGAACCATAAACAACCATGTGCTTCTGCAGTTAGATGTGTACAGATGAATAAAGCAATAAATCAATAAGCTTTTAAATACAGAACCCATCTCTTAAACTTTAATGTGTTGATAAGAAACAAAGCCGGTTACAATTATATAGAGAAGCATACCAATTATTTGTAAATTATCCTGTTAAAGAACAGTGGTGGTAGTCAAAATACTTAACAGTTACAGCACGGGCACGTAAGCCGATTAGAATGGAAACCGAGACTACTGAAAACATAGGCTGGCCATTAACAATCAGCATCCAACCAAAATACGCAATGAACGTCAAAGAGCTACACTTAAAAAGACACATCTTTACACAATATCACCCTACAACATAAATTAACTTGAAACAGTCAGGATTTCATAAAAACAAACAAACAAAAATGTCCAATACTGGACAGTCTTAATTACATACAATTATATGAAGATAGAAAAGACAAGCTCAGGGAACTGTAAGTGAAATACATCATACGAAAACAAGTTAGATTTAAACTTGAGCTTGTTTTGCATCTTTCCTAACAACATGGAGGTACAAGATGTATAAATACACAACTCAGTTATCAGTAACTTAGTAACAGGCTGTCCTTCACAGGAAATAGACTGTAAGTAACCCAAAAATTACGACTTTGCTATATTAATCAAGTATTTTGACAGTTCATCATTCCCACTTCAAGTTAAAATACTTACAGATGATAACCCATACAGGAAGAAAAGTAGAAATATCACCAAGCAGCTACTGTGAGGGAATAATGAAGAAGCTGTTGCAATGACTGCCATAAGAAGAGACATAAGAAAAAGCAAGCTTGTATACAGAAGAACCCAGGAAAGCCTAAAATGAGAACACAAACACATGTACGGTTAAATACATCGGTTTTAACAATTTAAAAAAAAACATTTTAAACAAAACTTCAGCTTTATTGCAGCCATTTTACTTTTAAAATTAAGTCAATCTATTCATTTCTGAAAATCAAAGCTCTCAGAAGTAAAAAAAAAAAATACAGCATTGGTTAAGTTGTATGTAGGTAAAAGTATAATCTGATAAAGAGATAAAATGGTGATTATCTTTCCAAGAGTCAAAAAAAAAAAGACTTTACAAATTTATAGAAATTAATTTAAATCTAGTACTCCCAAAAGTTCAATAATGCACAGCACTTCTGATTGTCTTAAAATACTAGTTTAATGACTGACAATTTTCTTTATGGTATATGCAACAATTAAGCCTCTGATGGTTTTTGTTACTTTAAACAATAAAGGCTACCTTGCTAGTCAAGAACATAATTACTACACATACACAATGTGAGATTAAGAAGATAAATAATGGATTCACTATGGGACTCAAAATTTCTCCTCACATCAGAGCTCAATGAAACTACTACAATCTTTAGTTTAATTTTGTTTTTATTTTTCAAGTTAGCAAATAATTTAATGTATGCTATCATAAAATCACTAAAATAGGGCCAAAAGATTTGTAAACAAAATTAAACCCATTGCTTTATGGAGGCAAAACTGAAGCACTAAGAAACAGATTTGCCTAAATTCTTCCAGCTATTATTTCCTCACAAAATACTTTAACAACTCAATATATATTAAAAATCAATCACTAGTAAAATGACAGGAGGAGAAAAAGGAGCAAAGAAGATATGTTACACAGAATGACCCCATTATGTAAAGTGTTATACTTAATTGCTGCATAGAGCTAAATGGAATAAAATGGACTATAACAACAACTCACATGCACAATATTCACTTTTCCTCCAGATCAAAATAAATGTTCTTGCTATATAGTGGAAAAGTAAGGAAAATGTATGCAGAATTATTCATAAAAATGCATACCTCTATGTATGTATATGCATGACTGGGACATTGCTTTGTGCACCAGAAATGGATACACTGTAACTGACTGTACTTCAATTAAAACCTTTTTTTTTTTTAAATGCATGCCTCTATAAAATTATCCTTGTATAAAAATGCTAATATGCTCATTTGTGAGAACTTTTTTCATTTGTTTCTCTAGGAATTATCTGTATATTTTTATCATAAAAAATTCACATAAATAACTTTTTCCAGGAGGGGAAAAAAGGCCATATGCTTCATACACAAACTTCAGTCATTTCAATTACATTTTTAATCATATGTATAGGCTATGATACTTGAGGAAGACTGTATCAGGCAATAAATTTCTAACTTTCCAAGATCTCTTATTTTCTATACACTGAAATACATGCAGCATGCCACATCAATTCAAACAAAATATGAAACAGAATTTAAACTTATAATATCAACATGATCTTTCCAAATCCCAGCACCTCCTTTATGTTAAAACAAGCCAATGAATTGCTGAAGCTTTGGGGTAAGTCTCAAACTCCAAGACAAAGGCCATCACTGTGAGAAAACAGAATCAGCAACTCATCGAGTCAGGTGAGTAACACATTACAACTGTGAAGATTTGTATATTCAATACAATTATTAATGCTGCCAAACAACAAAGTTTTAGTAACGTACCAAAAGGCAGTGTCATGAAGCCCCATTATCTTTAAAAATTCTTTTAACTTTTTCTCTTTTTCTGCTACGATATGAATTGCCAGAAAGTATCCAAAAGGTGAAAATGCTATAACCAGGTAAATTAAAATTACTCCTCGGGGAAAGGTATCTATTTCTATAACAGCAGTTTCTCCCATAATAACAGCTTTAGTTGACTCCAGCTCATTCCAAAAAGAAACATTGGTCTTCAACTGTAATTAGAAAATGTAAATACATTCAATTAATTTAGCTGATAGTAACTCCTAATAAAATGTGACAATTTATACCCCCAAATTTAATCAATAACCTAGTGCAAATATAATCCTCACAAAACTACGCACCTGAAATAGAGTGAATGACCCCACTATCATGATACAGCATAGAATATGGCTTTTATTCATTCTGAAAGCATGTCATTAAGTTTAAAGTCTGAAGTTAGGAAACATATACATTTTGATGAAACAGTTTGTCAGAGAAAATAAAACTGCACAATTATCATCTTAAGCTGACAAGTCTATGCATCTTAATAAAAATATGCATTTGTAAAATTGAGGAATTAAGGAATGAGTACTCGTATCATGAAAGAAGGATTCTCTTTTGAAAATGTTCTCTCAGGTAGTATGTCTCTCTATCGTTTTACAATCAATATGTGCAGCATGCAGAGTCAGAACAATAAAACTATTTTTGCCATATGATACACTTCTAGCTAACATCATGGTCAAGCTAACATGAGACCTGCTCTACCTGTTTATCCAGTGTGGTCTGGGCTGTGGATGGCTAAGGTCTTTGGACAAAACACGAACAAGTACCTTAGCACCATCAGTGTGATATACCCTGTATTCCACTGTTGTTACTTTAAACTGTGTTACTGAATATTGTATCTACAATACATTTACACCACGTTGTGAGGATTTATAAGAACCATTCTATATATACCATCTTATTTAGTTCTTACAGCAACCCTGTTAAGTAAGGTACTATTTTTGCAGTCATTTCACTACACAGCAGTCTAACAACTATAGAGATAGGTCTCCTGCCCGTTTCTATGAAAATGTGAAACACTGGAACAGGTCTAAGCATGTCTTTAGAATGGAACTGCAACATTAATACACAATCTTAGCGGTAGCACAGAATTAAAATACAGGACTGGGAGCCCAAACACAAGGTCTGAATTAGCTTTGCCACTAACTAACTGAGTTTTGGAAAGACACAATCTCCCTGTGCTTCAGCCGCATATGTAACAACAATAGGACCAGTCTAACAGGGGAGTTAAAGATTAAATGAGTTAATATTAGCATGTAAGTTAGTAACAATGTTTGGCAAATAAGTGATAAAGGTTGGTTAAACAAAATAAAATCTACCACTATGATTAAGATAATAAAGACATTCACTTTCCTTAAACTAAGTTATTCAAGGGGAAAACTCTCCAAATACAGATCTTTCATAAATATTATCTATGGTCAACACAGACGAAATAATATAATATATGGAATGCTGAATCACATATTAGAAACCATCAGATAAAAGTGGATTTCAAAACATTAAATAAGAAAATATGACTTCTTCCTTAGCTTTTTTCTTAAAGGAGTTGCATTAAGTTTTGTACTTTGTACATTTGACAGTAGTCAAATGAAATCCTATGGTAAAGACTTAAGGTGTGAATGCTAAAGTATGATTTGGACTTATTTTTCTTCCTTTATCATATTTACCTGTATAATGGCAGCATCTATGGACGCTTGTAAAACTGTGAACCCTGAGGACCAATACTGAGCGGCCTCACATGATTTTGAACAGCTAGCTATGGAAAAAAAGAAATATGAGACATAAGATTCTGCATATATGCAAGTGCTTTCTTTTAAAGACAGTATATGGAGAGTTAGTAAGTAATATAATTAATCAATCTCTATATATAGGATCAAAGAAAAGCAGCAATTGCCCTCCAAAGGCAAACAAAATCAGTAACATTCCTGACTGTTTTCCTGAAATTTTTTAAAGTAAAGAGTTACATGTGTTAGGATACTGGATGATAAATAAACATAAATGGAAAGAAAAAAATTAACAGTAAACATAGTTATTTAAAACAAATCACCTTTCTGTGTCGAGGTGTAAGTCATTCTACAATAACTTATCAGCTTTAAAGGTACAAGGACAAGTCCAGGTTAAGAGCACAGAAAAAAAGAAAAATGCTCTAAGAGCTTTCTGGAATCAAGTCACAAATACTTCACACAGTAACTTAAACATTGTTCAGTAAATGTTTGTGGTTGGTATTTATCTTTTCAGAGGTTTAGGCATTGAAGACTGTTTTCCATGTTTCAAACATAAAACTGATAAAGTTTACTGGTGGAAGACCTTGAGATCTTGAAGACAGGTATCACCCCATATATATGAAAACAATTATATGGAGAAAAGAAACTTAGAAACAGACTTAGAAAGTCATGTAATTCAAGAAAAATTTTTGTTTTGTTATTGTAATCAATGCATACAAATGTACTAAAATTAAAGTGGATATTAAATAAATTATACTTATATTTATAGATGCAGATAGATATACCTAAGTATTTTTCTGTTATACTTGAGTTTTCTTATTTGAAAAACTGTAGTTAAAAATGCCAATGTTGGACCCCATAAAATTTTGCATATGAACAGAGAACAGCAAAAATATGCATTTAACTGATTTTCAATGATTATTTAGCACTATTTACCTCTTGAATCCATATAAACAGATGATACTGGAATTGTATCAGGAAAAAAACGGAGTTCATAGGACATGGAGTCTTTAAAAACCACACCAACAAATTCACTGGACTGAGAAAGACTGGATGCTACCAATTCTCCTTCATTTGCATATTCTTTAGTATGTATGACTATAAAATATCATAACAATATAGTTAACTCACAAATTTAAATATTTATTATAATCAATAGACCAAATTTACCATTATATTTGATGAATGTAATATTTTATAAGCACTTTTGTTTGATGCTGTTACGTCTTAGAAAATGAATACGGCTCTTCTGAAAAAAACTAAACAGTAATGAATATTAAAATAGTGCAATTTTACAAACATAATTTCTTAGGTATCATTTCATTATATAAATTATGTGTCAATACAACACATAAGTTATTAATAAGATAAAATAGAGTATATACTTCATATGCAATATATGTAGTTCACTTAACTATCTCAAAGTAAAATCATACAAATAACTCGTTGATAAATGAATAGATATTTTACTTTCAAATATTTCTTCTTATGAAGAAAATTCCATAATCCTCCTCAGAAACTAAATATGTATTTTAGTAACTATGACACAACTCTTCTTTGAATAAAGATTTCCATTTAAACCCAATATTGTTTGCTCCTCTCTTAGAAAATATATGGAGAAAATACTGTCATCATCATTCAGCTCCTCTCACATCAATCATCTTAATTTTTAAACATTTTCTTTAAGGAGTATTTACAAGCAGAAGCTTCAGAAGATGTGATGAAATGGAAAAAAACATAGGGTTAGTACTTAACTTTATTATTTATTAGCTGTGTGAGAACAAGTAAGCAATTTAATTCTCTGAACGTTAGCATCCTCATCACAATATCTGGATGATCTCACTCTGTCAGGTGTAGTTACAGACAGGAAAATGCTCTGTAAATTGTAAAGCTTTACTTAAATCTTAACTATCAGGATTTTCCAGACCCTTAAGGAGTACATGGAACTCCAAGATTGATCAGAAGAAGGAGTCATGTTACCACGTGTGTATGTATGTATATCCCACTTTCAGACAGTTCTGCTGTTAGTAAGATAAAACTTTAAAAAATCTACATATATTTCTGCTGTTTGGCATCTAAGTTAATACACACCGACTTGGATTTCTTTGGTGCATATACTTTTCTCCTGCTCAGAATGACCAATGAGTTTCATACTCAACATTTCTGATGAGTTGTTTCAGCTGACGTGCTAAATTCTTATGGCTACCCATGCTGCTTGTGCTTAATGTGGTAAGCCAACAAATACATACCAATGAGATCAAAATATTAAATAGTAATAAGGCAGAAAGAAACCAATGGGGAAAGAGTTATTTAGCTCCTCATTGTATAAACATCTTTTATTCAGTGACACAGTATCCAGAGTGATTACAACTATCCTATATGACAGAAAATAATGTTAATCTATTATTTTCTACAATTGAGCATCTCATTCAATCAATCATCACTGTATAAGCATTACTCCAGTTTTTGCCTTAAATTTTCTCATAGCCACTTTAGGGTCATTCATACCTCAGTCATTGCTTACACCGTCTTCTAGTCCATTTCTCTGTGAGAAGTACAAACTGAGAAAAATGGACGTAGGTACACAGCCACAGTCATGGTCTCCAAAGCTAAGTACTCCTCCAGGCTACACTACATATCTCTATAAATCTGAGAAGATTACTGCTTTATAATCTTTGCCATGTATTTCTAGCTTTTTAATTGTTATATGAGTCAGAATCAAAATGAAATATTCCTTCATATCTTTCGTCTTATACAAATAGACTTATTTTATAAATGGTCTATGAATCAAATACAACATATTAAAACATAAAATATGCTTCCTATTACCAAGAATATAAAGCTTCACAAGAAACATAAGGCAGCAAAATTAAGTGATTTCAATATTTTTATAAAAATGTATTTTGGTGAAGGGCCATGTATCTAAATGCTGAGAATGGTATTTATTCAACAAAGCAAGCAGAAAAACACTGAAGAGGCTTTCAGCTTTCAAAGAGAATGCGTATATAAGCTCACAATACCATCAGGAAGGTGGTCAGTGGAAACCTTTTCCATGATGTTTCTTGTAATATTAGTCACTGGAGTATATCCAAGAATTACGTTAGAGAGAATAGATTTGTCCATAGGGTTAAGTTCCATATCAGGCACTTCTTCGTATTTCTTATTTGGATGCATCATGCTAATTAATATTAACCAAAATAAAAAAAATAGTGGAAAAAGAATCTCCTATAAATAAGGGAAACAAACAAGATGATTATAAAGTATAACAATGGCAGCAAAAAATCATAAAGAGTTCTATGCAATAATATAACTAATACTAAGAAAAAACATGAAGAATTTGGGTTTCCTTTCTTAAGTACAAAAAATAAAAGCAATTCTATCCTAAAAAAATACGGTGTTAAGCATCTCACCTAACCCAACAGCACATCACTTTTCCTGTACGTTCAGTTTTATTGAAATACTTTAAATTCAAGTCACCGTAATAAATTTAAATGATATAAAAGCTAATATTTCAACCTCTCAGGTTGCTCATGTAAAATACAGTAATAAATTTACTCACATATGACTTTATTTAAAGTAACCTACCAAACACCTGTAATAGGGATCACCATAAAAATGTCTTTATTCAAGTCTGAATTAGAACTCATGTTTTAATTATACCTAAATTTCTACTACTAAAACTATACTCAGTTAAATTCAATAGTCAACTTTAATAGAGAGGAACTGTTTACTGTTTCACCTTGCCGTTTTGCTTGCTTCAGGAGATCAAAGGTATCTCTCCATCCCTTAACATCATCATTAACTGGTTAGCTAGAGTTCTTACTTTCTTTTACCTTTTAAAGTAACGTATGCTTGTGGGAACAAATACGTGACATAATTTTAGTCATCCTGGGCAATTCAATCCAGAGTCCAAAAGCTGGAAGGTCATGGAGACATGCGGGATCATGTTCCATAAAGTTATTTGTAGAATTTATTTTTCATTTCATAAAACTTGGGAAATGCATGTCTCAGGGTTTAAAATTAAGTACTGATATTAGAAGTTAATTAAATTTAGAAATCATTACTAAATTTTTTTAACATTTTGAAAACATCAGGTAATTTAGGTATTTTTCTGAGGCTTACACAAGTTTTTACTTTCACAAGCAAATTAATGGGATCCAAAAATATAAAAATATAACAAAAAAGCATTCAGAAAAAAAATCATCTCTTAAAGATGAAACATATTAATGCAAAATAAACTGCAATATGGCAAAACAGTCATTTAACTTACCTGAACACTACTTTTTTTAGTCCTGCATTTAACTAGGTAATTCTTAAGCAGGAGTGTTCTGGTCTGTCTCCAAACTCCAACTTCCCTAATTGCAGTAGTAGCCATGTTTTCGGATTTGTCTATTACATAAGGGAAGTTAAAAAAAAAAATGTAACCACACAGTCAAGCACATGACATTTTTAATGTCGAAAACAGACAGACAGACAGACAGATGTTTCAGTCTCAGTTTAGATGGAGTTAAGCATACTCCAGGCTGTCCCTCCTACCTGGACAGAATGCATGGAACAGCAATTTGAAGATTCTGAAAAGTAAATAGTAGCATGTGAAACAAGGGGGAACCAGAATCCCAAATACCACCACCAACCAACAGTGAGCTTAATGCTTTTTCTTTTCCAGTATCCTCTATACTGAATGCTCTGGAAGTAGGCACTGGGGCACAGAGAGAGCTCTAGAAGACACTCTAGCTCGGGCCTGGTCTTCTTCTCAAGGAGAATAGGGAAATACTCAATCTTTTCTTCGTGCTCTTGTCCCCAAGCAATCCCGTGATAGCAGTGTCAGACTATAGCAATGAAAGCTTAATGCTGCCAAACTCTGAGGCAGAGGAGCCTTTCTCTCTTTTAAGTGGATCTCTGGTTCCAAGAGGGTGGGGACATATCCCACTGCTTTCTGCTCTACTTGCTGACACAGGGCCCTGAATGCAGTGGGTGCAGTTGCAGAAGTGTGTGACCTAATGGGGCGACTAGAGGAAGATGGAAAAGAGGAATCATAGGGAATCGAAAAGTAGCAGGAAGAGCAAATAAAAAGGGGAGCTCAGGAAAGCAACATAATCAAGTCATTTATTAACTCCCGGACTAACCCCCACGCTGGGTATCCATAGATCTAATCCTATTCCATGTACCAAAGACTTGAGGAACTGAACTAACAGACAGACCACCACCCAGATCCAGACTGGTCACTGGGTGGCACACAAAGGACAGATCCAAACTGCACTGCAAGCGCTTCTGAAAACTAAACTGAAATTAGAGCCACAGCTCAAAGAATGTGGGTGGAAACCTAAGACCTGAACCTAACCAGGTTAACAGTGCACTAAAAGAAGACATCAATCCTCTCTGTAGGAGTAAAACAAAAATTGGTCTCATACAATCCAAAATTACTCCGTTAAAGAAGCACGTGGAAAATTTCAATTCTATTAAGAAAAGAACATCAACAGATGCCAATGCCTAGGTGACACAGATTTTGAAATTATCTGACAAAAACTTTAAAGAAGCTATTTAAAATGTGCTCCAGCAAACAATGGCAAGCACTCATGAAAACAATGAAAGATCAAGTGTCAGCAAAGAAACAAGACATAAAGTAGCACCAAATAGTAATTTTAGAACAGAAAGACACAGTAACAAATAAATAAAACCCATAGAATGGGCTCAAAAGCAGGATGGAGGTAATAGGAAAAGAGTCAGTAAACTTGAAAGATCAGTAGGAGCTATTCAATCTGAACAGAGAGAAAAAAAGTTTTTTTTTTAACAACTAACAGTGCCTCAGAGAACTCTGAGGCAATAACAAAAGGTCTAATGTTCAAATTATTAGTCCCAGAAAGAGAGAAGTGTTAAGTGGAGGAAAAATATTTAAAGAATTAATGGCTGGAAACTTTGCAAATTTGTCCAGAGATGAAAAACCTAAGAGTTTCAGGAAGCTTGATGGAAACCCAAACAGGATAAATCGAAGGAAATCCACACTCACACACATCATAATCAAACTGCTAAAAATTAAAAGCAGTGAAAAATCTTGAAAGCAGTCAGAGAATAACTGTGCATTACCTACAGGGGAATAATGATCTGTCTGAGAGCAAATTTCTCATGAGAAACCGCGTGGCTAAGCTGGAATGCTCACACCCTGCTGGTGGGACTGCGAAACGGCTCAGCTGCTGAGAAAACAGTTTGGCAGTTCCTTGGAAAGCTAATAATAGAATTACCATATGATCCAACTACCCCACTTCTGGGTATATACCCAAAAGAACTGCAAACAGGGGCTCAAACAAGTGCACATTCATGCAGGCTCACAGCAGCATTGTTCATAACTGCCAAGACACAAAAACAGCCCAAATGTCTATGAGCAGACGAGTGGATAAACAAATTGTGGTATATGCACGTAATAATACTATTGAGCCATGAAGAGGAATGAAGTACCCACAAACGATACAAAGTGGATGAACCTCCCAAACACTATGTTCAGTGAAAGAAGCCAGACACAACAGGTCAAATATTATGTTTCCAACCATATAAAATTTCCAGAATATATAAATCCACAGAAGTGGAATGCAGGCTGGAGACTGCCAGAGGCTGGGGAGAGAGGAAATAGAGGAGAAAGTACTTAATGAGTAAGGGGCTTTTACTCTGGAGTGATGGGAACAGATTTCACCTCAATATTTTGCTTTTGAACTGTATGATCTAAATCACTGCATCACAGGTCCGGTGTCCCACCAGGGTAAGTTTACTCTCGGGGGGTCCCTGGAACCCCTTCTGAGAGTGGACCTCTGTTGGAGCTATCTCAGTTCTTCAAAGAGGTTATATGAAAGCAGAAATCAAAGTAGCCAGTCTCAGCTGTATTCTCCGTGGTCCCTATTCCAATTTGCTTACCCCCATAACCCAGACTCCTTGCATACCAAAAGGTATTGAGAGCTTGGAGGAGACACCAAAAAAGGTCCCGCTAAGCCTTCTTCCAGAGCAATCTGTGTTGTCTTGTTTTATAGAAACCTATTTGATGGGAGCCACTAGTGTGGCTCCCCTCCAAAACAAGAACCATCCTTTCCAAGTCGGCTGACCGTCTCCACCTAGATAAAAAGCAGGCAACTTTTTAAATGTAGCTTTTCTTACCCTCAAAAAGTAAACATAGATAACTAAAGTTCGAGTCAAATAAACATCCTCTTCACATGCACAGAAGAAAGACAAGAGAGATGTATTTTGAATTTTACAATGGCAGAATAAACAACTTTTATTTTCTTTGTGCTTTTTTTCTATATTCTCAAATTTCCCACCAATATGTGTTCCTTATATAGTGGGGGGGGAGGAGCAATTATACAATGAGACATACTGTAAAAATATTAAACAAGTAAATTAAAAACAGCAAAAGTAAAGCTGTCAAGAAATGAGGATACATTAAAAATAAATTCTTCCAACAGCCTCATTAACGTTACGTCAGATTTTGTACAGAATCGGTAATCATCTTTAGGCCGATGGAAGAAAGGAAGAAGGAGGGAGGGAGGGAGGGAGATCAGATTAACTACAAAACAAACATAGAAACACTAACCAATACAACAGCAAGAACATTCTCAAGCTATCTGCCAGAACACATTGATTTAGTGGGCGCCAATGAATTATTCATTCAAATTGAATGCTGCATGCTTAATTCCTCATTTTCAGAAAACAGGCCCCTTATAAAGTAGCTGATGAACTCACAGTATTTTCCTTCTTTTGAGAACTGCTCCCTGAACTCAAGGTTGAGTCCTCAATAGCCTTGGCTGAAGTCCAGGAACCTCTGCAGCAACCCCACTCCTAGTCAGAGCTTTTTAAGGCAGAACTCACCCCTGCACCGCCACTCACCCGTCATCCCCACGGACACACAAACCCCTACCGTCGCCACCACTACCTCTGAGCTGCTATCAATTCAATTTTCTCCTGGCAGTTTGGAATTTTTTAACTAAGAGACCCAGAACCTGGGAGTCATGGAACCAGCTACATTCATGGAAACATTTAAGAAAATTCATATATTCTTGGGACTAAGCTTTCCCGTAAGATTTGGTACCTACCGTGCTGAAAGCTTGATTTTTCTTCCTTGGAATATGCGAAATGCCCTTGTGCACCCAATATATTTTATTTCCACTTCAGCAAGCAGGAATCAGATTCTGTTTCTTGCAATCAAAGGCACTCAACCAATGTAACAGCATAATGTGCTCTTAACTCCATGTTTATAATACTTATAAGGACAACAGTAATTTTCAAAGTGAAGCATGGCAGGAACAAAGAGAAATGCTTACAACTTACCTGCCTCCACTCTCTACTAAATATAGAATTTCACTGATACTAAAGGGAATGAGTGTGTAGGAGCAGAAAAAAAGTTGAGAACCACTTTAAAGTTTCTAAAATAGTTTTAAAGTAACAGTAACAGGGAAATGTTTCTGCAGAAGACAACATACAATGACTAAGCAAAGAAGTCACTTCAGTGTCCACTCAGCCTCAGACTTGTCCGTTCTTCCAAAGCACAAAGACCCTTCATGAGCGAAAGGTGCTTTCATGCTGTTTTCCTCTTGCCCCTGACCTCTCTCTATTCTAGGTAAATTGTTCTTTGTCATCATTTTACCTTAGCCAAAAACGTCCTTCGCCACTTTGCGCCCAGGGCTCTCAGGGAGCACTTTCTACACATTGGCTGGAGACTCTCCTCAAACTGAGGTTGAGGTGATCTACCCCTGTCATCCCTCTCCTCCTTTAAAAAACAATCAAAATCAATGCAAACAGAAACTGAGTGAACAGTTTACTCAGTATTCATAAAAAGGAGATAACCACATCTGCATTTTATTTTGATACTTTAAAAAGATTTCTATCTGGAATGAAAATAACACCTCATTAAGAGGAGCTGACCTGTCAAGTGAAATTCCAATCTTAGCTCTTCACCTACTTCAGTCTGGAGTAGTGGTGGGTGTGTACTTTTATTTGAAGACGCAGTGCCAACCCTTCGTGACTTCCAGCAGCCTGGCACTATTCTCCCTGCCCCCAACACACACACTCAAAGGGAACGGTCTACAGTAAACCCAATCAGCATCTTCAAACATGTTAAAAGAAAATGGGATCGGTCAACATTTATGGAAACGCCGTATCATGAAGGAGAGGCACCAAAATCAACAAAGATGGGAACCACGAGCTCCTGAGTGTAGAGTGGTTAAGGGGCTGACCTCTGGAGCCAAATCAACTAAACAAGAATCCTGCCTCGCAACGTACCGGCTTGGAGACCTTGGGCAAGTTACTTAACTTTTCTGTGCTCATCTGTAAATGGAGTAATGACAGTACTCACATCTTTGGGCTGTTAGAATGACCAAAAGAATAAACACATATAAAGCTGAAAATGGAGCCTGGTACCTGACAGGTAATTATACCTGTTGATCAGCACTGTCTATAAAAGCAGTATAATGAATATTCTCAAAGGGACATCAGAGAATTTCATATTCATGAAAGCAATTAAGAGAATACTGCTGGAGGACTTGGAAATGAAGCCGACAAATGGAAATAAAATTCTCACTAGAGAGGGTGAAAGGCATCTGAAGGCAAGTTACTGAGTTAGAATGAAGACTGAGTCAAGGAAATTCCCCAGAATGGATGGCAAAAGGACAAAGAGAAGAAAATGATGAATGGAAAATATGAAATCTGTAATGAAACATGCAGATGAATCAGTATTATGAGTGACCTGAACAAACTGTTTCTAATATTCATAAGTTCTAGTCTAATCATGTGAAAACTGTTAAATTTCAATAACTTTGAAATTCTATCTATCAAGTTATTAAAACAAAACATCTTAAAGAAAACTCAACTGACAGCTTGTTTTCTTCAAGACATGAAACACCTGATTTGGCTGTTTGACAAATAAAGTGAAGCATTCCCTTGACACTGATTCTTCATTAACATTTAGTTTAATGTTCATCTAAACAGTAACTTCAAAGCTGTAATCAGGTTTTCGTTAACTGACACTGTGAATCCTCTGCACCCACACCCCACAGTGTCTAAGCGGGTGCAATCTGAAAAGGGTTATGGGGAATGAATTAAGTGAGGACCGCTCTGCATAATAATAGGAAGGACTAACTCTACTGTAAAAGATTCTTTGCAAACTGCAGGAGCTTAGGAAAATATTGTGCTGCTTCTTCAAGTGTTGAGACCACACTGTCTCTGGCGAGAAGACAGAAGATAAAAGAAAAGAATAACTCATACCGGTAAGGTGATCACAAAGTCCCCTCCGCTCACCCCCACCCACCGCTGTCTTGCAGGGTTTGGAAGGGGGAAACAGATGGAGGATGGATGTGAGAAGACAGCACTTTCTACACTGAAGAACTCGGCCAAAGACAAAGATAATGAGACTGTCTGAGCTGAGACCAACCCCTAAGGGTAGGGTAACGAGGCTTACTGGAAGAAAGGTGGGGCTGCTCCCCTCTGCAGAGGTGACATGAAAGGAGTTCTTCTGACGGAAGTGTAGAGCTGAAAACAGGACCACAAAGATAGAAATGAGGTATGGCCAGCAAGGCGACATCTGTAAAGAGTTTAACTTGTCCTGTGCCTTTTCCTGAACCATAAGAAAACCCACATTTAGCACAGACCTCTAAATTTCCTCTTTCTATACTAGACTTCCCTTAATTATCCCAAACCTTGGAGCCTTATGTGGCGGCATCCAAAAGGGTAAAAGGAAAAGGCAGTAAAGGATGCCCGGCCTGTCTCACATTTAACATTGGCTGTGCCAGTATCGAGGAGTTCACTCACTCGTGGTAGAGCTCACACAGGCGCTGGAAATGCAGAGGACCATACAACACTGAAAAGAAAGCAGCTTTCTGAGTAAACAACATATGGAAGACCTTCTCTTTTGCAACGTATATTAGATGATCCTTGAAAGCAGAAGTTAACAACTGAAGTACAATAAAACTCCTACTGGCATATTTTTTAACAAATTGTACATTTTGGAAAACCTGTAATACTTGATAAAGTTCCAACTCAAAGTCTTATCAATGCAGTACCTTTATGACTCTTTAACCAAGCCAACTCTTAACTGCTAAAGAACTATGACACAGAAATAAGGGTACAAAACTATATTTAAACCTCTTTTAAAGTCACTGTCCATTGCTCCACAGCATGCTGGGGAATAAGTTACATTTGTTATAGAGATTTAAATAATGATGAGATATGTTTTAAACACCTAATATCACTAAAGGAATAATCATCTATTTAAGTTTCTTTTGGAGGATGGAGAGAATGAAAAGTGCCCAATGAACTGAGAAGGCATCTTGAAACCGAAAAGCGAACTGAGGCAAAAGAGGCTCTTGATGACTCTAAAGACAGGCTGGAAAGTGGGTGTGAAATACCTATGCAAAGTTAGATTAGACACCTGTATTTTGTGTACTCATATTTCCCTGTCTGTGCTTTTCATACCTAAGAATAACTGTTTTAATTGCCTGGCAATCACATATTTCACTAATCCATTCACTCTCCTAATCCCAAACCTCCAAAGCTTCCACTCACAGCATCACCATCAGATCATATATAAGCTTGATTCCTACTTCACTGAGAAAACTGAAGCCATGAGAAGACACTTCCAAAATGCCCCACCATCCCTTCTATCCACCTACCTACAGCTAAGCCTGCAGTAACATTTAGACCTTTTAACAATGTGCCATTTCAGCCTAAACTGAAGACTCTTTCTCCATCAGAACTCTAAGCGATAAAAGCTTAAATGGAATCTGGCATTGACGACACCTTAAAGATTTATTTTTTGGAAGAAGAGGTTAAGAACGTATTTGGCAAGTGATGTGAAAGAAACTCCTCCACTGCTACATCACTGGCTTCACAACTAATAAAAGCACTATTAAAATCAAGACTTTTAACTTACTAGGGGATAAACTATAAATGTTCTCTTCTCTAGTGTTTAAAAATCTGCTGAAGGTAGTGTAATAATAAAACAAAATAATAATCATCAATATGATTTAACCTAAATTTTTATGACAGTATTTCTCACTGAATGGGAAAATAATGCAATAATACCCATGTGACAAGTTATCCAATACCTTTTCTCAAATATAACAGGTTCCTAAACACTTATGCTTAAAATTATTTTAACCCAATTAATTCACACACTAGAAAAAATTACGATTTATGAGAAAACTACAAAATTCTTTTATAAAATCATCCTCTCAAACTCAAGGTCAGAGATTATAAATTGTATTCATTTTGGTACCCGAGGAACATAGTTTAGTATCTGGAAAACAAAACACACTCGAAGAAACCTGCAATGTATCAATAAATTTGCTTTTACCCTAAATATAAGATTTCCCTACACTAAATCTTGTTTGAAGGAAAATACTCACACAGCACATATTCAAGGATTAACGCCTTATTAGTTTACTTTTAACCCATACACCCCAGAAGCTCTAACTGCTCTAATAATGTTCTGTTGTATAGAGTCTTCCCTGAAAATGCGTAATTTCACTATCTGGGAAGAAACAAAATATAGTGGATAAAGCACCAGGATTTAGAGTCTGGCATCCCTGGGTTGGACTCTCAGCTCTACCTTGTTCCTAGTTGGGACCTTCATATATGACTTAACCTCACTGCCCAACTAGAATAAAACCCCTCCAACTTCAACAGGATGCTGTCAGGATTAAATGAGATAAAACTGAGCCTGGCTCATGGTTGGGAGTCCAATATATGCTCTTTTTCTCCCCTTCTGTTCCTTCAGCGCGTCCTCGATAGAAAGTAAACGTGATTATCTTTATTTTTTTCAGACTTACTTATTTAAAAATGTCTATTTAGCCATAGAACCATAGAAGAAACCCTTCTTCACCTATTATCGCCTTAAACAGAGATCGATGCTTCCATCCTACCTAGCTTTCGCATCTGCTGAAATATTTTCACGCTTAGAGCTTTTCTTGACGTTTTAGGCATCAGAGCATTTCCCCCCAAATCGTGTCACGAGCTCTGCGCATTTTCATCTCTCCCAAACTCCTTTTAACTAACACGCAGGGTAATGATGACCAGCACGAAGCCCCCAAGGAATAACCCGTGCTAATGAGCCAGCCGTTCAGAGGGAAATTTACTTCTACAACGTTTTCTCCCTCTCTAACGACGCCCTGATGAGGGAAACGACCCCGTCCAACCCAAGGCAGCCCGGCCGTGGTCCCGCGGCCGGACGCCCCTCGGCGCCCCGGGCATCCACACACCAACACCCTGAGACGGGCCAACAGCATCCGCGACAGGACACGCCGCCAACCGCGCTTCCTCCGACCTCGGGGACCTTGTCCTGCCCCAACCTGGTCGCCAGTTTGGCCCCGTTCCGAATCCCGCTGCACCCCACACCCCGACCCCGGACCGCTCCTGCTGCCCCTCTTTCGCCGGCCCCTCGGCGGGCCCCGCCGGCCTCCCCTGCTCGACCCCTCACTCCCGCAGCGGTGGCAGCACCCCGGCGA